CCCCTCCACTTTTGCACCAAACATACACACGTTAGGATCACAGAGGGAGGTGCCTCTGGGAGGAAGGTCACCAAAAAAGATGCCAGATGGGGACTTTATCTTTTTTTAATTTAAGATTTTGATATCCATTATGCATAATTTCCAGGGACCAGGCTACGTATTCAGCACTTCTGGGGATTGGAATTTTGCTCAGTGATGGAGATGAAACAACAACACATAGCTTTGCTTCTAAGGAAAAAAATTGGATCTGGAATAACTGAACTCAGGAACTGTGGTAAAGGCTAGTTTTAAACTTGGGTCCACCTAAAAGGTTGAACCACCCACTGTCATTAATATGTCCAGTTCCACATACAAAGAAAGCCCTGTGTAAAATCAGAGAATGCAGTCCTCTTGCAAGCAAGGCCTTTGCGGCTGATCTCAGTGTCTGGCTCTCACGGTTTTGGCTTAGTCTTCCCCTTTTCTTATGGGCACTGGCTTCCAAAAGATCTGTCATGTGGGGACAAAGGTGGGCCTCCTGAGGGTGCCTCTGTGTGGGGACCTCAAAAACACCAAACAAGGTGGTCAGATACTGTGGTTGCTCAATAAAATGTAAAAAAAATAAAAAAGCAACAGTAACTGACCAAATCTAGATTAGCTGGCATCCTGTAAGCTTCCCAACTCTCTAGCCAGCGGTTCTCAACCTGTGGGTCACGACCCCTTTGGCGGTCTAAGGACCCCTTCACAGGGGTCGCCTAAGACCATCCTGCATATCAGATATTAACATTACGATTCATAACAGTAGCAACATTACAGTTATGAAGTAGCAACGGAAATAATTTTATGGTTGGGTCACAACATGAGGAACTGTATTTAAAGGGCCAGAAGGTTGAGAACCATTGCTCTAGACTAGGGCAAAGGTTGTTTGTAAATTGCAGGACTCAACATGTCATGTAGAGGCTCCCTCCAGGACAACTAATGGATTCCACAAGTGAGCATCTGCCACACTGATGTTCTGAATGCTAACGACTCTGTGAGTCTGAAGCTGCCTGCCAGACTTCATGGCACAGTGATTGACACACAGAATGCCCCGGAAACAAATGTGAGAGATGCAGACTGAGATTTATGAGCATATTAATTACAGAATTGTTTATAATAGTTAAAAAATGGGAAGTTAAATGCGTAACACATAGGTGAGTAGTTCTATTATTTCATATCTACATTATTCAGCTATTAAGAATCATGTCTTCGAGGAACATTTGGTGACAAGGAAAAAACTTATGATATAATGAGAAATCAAAAAGGTACAAACTTGAAGACAATGGTAATATTTATTTATTCATTTATTTATGGCTTTTCCCTCTGGTCATATACATGCACATGGCAGAAACGAACTAAAATAAAATAATCATAGTGGTTATCTTCGAGTAATGAGAAACTAAATTACTTTTCTTTATCTCTGTATTCTTTTCTGTAATTTTTTAAGTTTCATACAAAGTTTTCCTTTCTACTTGTACAATAGTATAGTTTTTAAAAACCAATTGTCAACTCTCACAAGAATACCCAGCTATTCTGGCACCAATCTACTGTATAATTATTATTAATAAATGATAATATAGTGAATCCCTATCCTCATCTGTGAATAATTATGCACACAAAAAACATCTATTTGTCTCAGTCAATAACCTCTGGGCCAGAGGCTTTAAGCCTTAAGATCTGCATTAAAATGTATCTTGTCAAAGTACTGCCTACTATTAGTATACTAAATACTGTTGAGTACATACCCTGGGCCAAGTGTTTATCTATGTGCATTCATTTAACACACTTAAGGATGAGGAAGGTGAAGTTCAAAAAAGATCATATAACTTGCCATGGTCATAAGGCTGTTTAGTGATCAAAATAGATTCAAACCCTCTCCTCTCAGTCTGGTTTGAAAGCCTTGTCTCATTCAACCACCACAGGGCTGGTGGAAACTTCAGATGACACTGAGACTTCATTTCAGACATTTAAAAATATCCTCACACAATATTTTGGTAGCATTCCCAGTGTGTGGCCCAAATAAGTGATTTTTGTTTCTTTTCTTTCACATAACCCTAGAGGAGGTGCTAGGAAAACTGTGCAAAGGAGACAACATTACAGACAAGTAAAAGGACACATGAACAATTCACCTACTGGGAACCCCTGAGAAAACAGGTTGTAAATGTAGCCCGGGCCTCTGAGGCAGAGACTGGCAGGTGCTGCTGGTTCTGCGGCTCCACAAGCATCTCACCTGCCATTGGTCAAGGTGCTGCTCCTCCCTCCTACCAGACCTGAACCCCATCTCTCAGCAGTCAGGTCTTTGGGTTGGTTACAAAGCCCAGATCATGGACCCAAAAGAACTATTTTTAAAATCTAAAAATGTTCCTTTAAAAAGGCCAAAGCCCTCAAAGATGATCTCCTTTAACTTTTCCCATCTATGTATATAAAAGCCTAAGTGACCGTCCGACCGGTAACTATGATGCACAATGACCACCAGGGGGCAGATGCTCCAACCGATAGCTATGATGTGCACTGACCACCAGGGGGCAGATGCTCAATGCAGCAGCTGCCGAGCTGCAGTGACTTGGCAGCTGCAGTTACTTGGCAGCTGTGGTTCTTGGGTGACACACCCGGAACCAGAGAGGAGGGAGTCCGATTCGGGGGTGGGTCACCCAAGAACTGCCCTCACGCAATCCAGGACCCCTTGGGGGATATCGGAAAGCCAGTTTTCGGCCCGATCCCCATAGGCCAGGCCAAGGGATTCATGCACCAGGCCTCTAGTTTAATAATAAATGCCTTTCAACATTCCTCAAAACAGAGCCTCAGGGCTAGATATGTGTCATCTAATTTAATTCAACCAGCAGACAAGATTATAGTGGTAACAACATCCTACTCAGGTAGAACCTCACAATGACCAGATGCTTCCACATCCATTAGCTCCTTTGCTTTCACACTAAGCCTCAAGGAAGGAAAGACAGGCAATATTACCTACATTTTACAGACCGAGGAGTTAAGGCAGACTGCCACTTTCTCTGGCCCATTGGATTACCCAGCAGCTTCCTTGGAAAGCACAGAGAGCCTGGCTCGGGGGAGTGCATACCAAGCTGGGGTTGAGAATATGGCAGCAGTGTGTCCCTGAAGCCAGGATCCTGAAGAAGATTTTTAGGGTAAGAATGGGGGTAATGAAACACTGAGGTGGGAAGACATCTCTACTAAGGTCACAGTGTTTCCTGTGGGGATCTCTGAATGAATGGCTTCCTCCTCACGCTTCCTATTTTCTCAGTTCTATTCATTCTTCAAAGTCAAACACAAATGCCACAGACCCATGAAGCATCCTTCATTATGCAGCACAAAGAAACCTCAGTACTAACACCTTAAGGTTTTCATGTTCTTCACCTCATTACTATATCATGATACGTTTTTGAGGTTTTGTCATTCATTTCACAAATGCGGAAAAGGAAGCTCAGAGATTTAAGTAACTTGTCAAATTGACACAGGTAACAAGCAGCAAAGTCCGAATTTCAAACTACATCATGTCATAGTAGCCTCACCTTCCTGTACACTTATCCCATCTTATATATTGCCCATGTGTTCCTTAACTCCTCAACTACTTCACAAGTTCTTTGAGGGCAGACAGCAAGCCTTACAATTCCTTTTGTTTAAAAAAATGTTTAATCCTCACCTGAGAGTGTGTGTGTGTGTGTGTGTGTGTGTGGATATATATAGAGAGAGAGTGGAGGGGAGGGAGGGAAGGAGGGGGAGAGAGATAGAGATAGATAGAGATAGAGATATAGAGATAGATAGATATTGATGTGAGAGAGACACATAGATATGTTGCCTCTTCCACGTGCCCTGACTGGGGCCGGGGATCTAACCTGCAACCCAGGTATATGCCCTTGACCGGGAATTGAACCCAAAGACCTTCGATGTGCAAGGCAACTCTCTAACCACTGAGCACACCAGCCAGGGACTAACAATTCTTTGTAAACTACTCCCTCCCCAGCACCTAGCAGAGCTCCATGTACACAGTTAGGTCTCAATAAGCATCACATGTTAACTATCTGTTTGGTGGGAACAGTAATTAATAAGAGGGAATTTCTGGTACTCTGCATGTCAGGCTTTCTGCTGTATAAAATTAAAATAAGAGGAAACATGAAATGAATCATTTCTCCCAGCTCTAGCTAATCAGGCATTGATTACCATGTCTGATTCTGTGGTTTGTGAAAATAACTGCTTAGTAAGCATTTTCTGTGATGAGGGTAATCAGATACATACAGATATCAGAGATATTTTTAAAAAGACAAAAAACAACAACAAAAAAAAACCAAGACCATCAAACATATGGAGAGACAATGACCTACATGGTATAATATTGCACCTGAAACTGAAGAACTTCCAAGGCAAAGAGAACACTTGATAATTTGGGGCAATTTAAGGAACACTAAGAGAGGCAGTCAGGCTGCTAACTGGGGCCTTGTACCATGATGCCTGTATCAAGAAGACAGATGCATCGTGCTACAGTTGTGGGTCTGACACAGAAGAGGGGGACACTTTTCCGGGCTTTTATGGGAGAAACGGTTTGCCTTGATACCTCCTCAACATAGCGATCATTTCATTACCATCTGCATTGACAGGCAAATTGAATAAATATACATGCAATGTCTTACTTACTAACCTGTTGGGTCTCATTCCATCTGGCCTCCCAACACATCATTAGTTTATAGCTTTGGAAATATAAAGGGCTCAAACAAATTCATTGAGATTAGAATTTTTATGGTAGAGATTAGGTCAGGTACTTCTACGTTGGCATCCTGTAACCTGAGCTACCAATAGCAGTGCCTATCTACTATATTTGATTGTCAAAGCAAGGACAGTGATCTTAATAAGCCACGGAGAGGCAGGAGTTCTGATTTCCTTTGTGTTATAAATACAATGCCACATTCCCATGAGCATTCAACCAACATCAATTAAGAAAGAAGAACAAATACCAGGTTTAGGGTACCTACATTTGTATCCTCATGGCTGTGGCCATTGGTCTCCACGAATTCCTTGGTACCTTTTAACTGCAAATTTAAAAAAAAACACCAAGTGAATAAGCAAGCATATCTATTAAGTGTATATCATCTTATTAACTCTGGTTAGTCTGAGGTTGCACTTTATAAAACTTCCAAGGAGGAAAAACACAGACGGGCCCATAATTCTAATGAGTCTTCCTGAAACCAGTTTGAGACCAATATTTTATGAAACTTGATGGCTGGCAAAAATAAATGGATCTTGTTCATTATTTTTTAAATAACAAGATTTGAAAGCAATTCCATAGGCATAAAATGTACAAAAATTGGTTCTTAAGAATAAAAAATGATTTCATTTTCCAGTTGCATTGCTATTAATTTAAGCCCTGCAGTGCTTGCAAGCTGCCACCAGCCAAATGATGTGATAGTAACGGTGACTGGTGAAGGGTGGTTGGTTGAATAGGCCACGGAGCTACTGTCATGTCCTCTGTGAACATGTTTCAATGGCTGACATGGTGTCTGGAGGCCTAAAAGAAGATGGTCTGCTTCTTTTCGTAAAGGAAGAACTGGGAAGACAGCTCCTTGGTCACCAAGGCATTAGCAGAAAAGCTATTTTGGACAGTGAACATTTGAAAACACTACTCCCTAGACTCTCTCTCTCAGAGGATTATGAGAAATCAGCTGTTACCAGAGTTCTGGAACCTTTAATTGGCATTTTATCCCAGCCTGACTCAAAGCAGACATATGGAGGCAGAGAGCAAGGGCAAAGGGTGAGCAGGCCTTGCAGCTGTTGCCAGGATTTCTTCCTGGCTTATTATGCTTCGAAGCAGCACCTTCTGTGCCATTTTTAATGCCTGAAATAAAGAATTCATGGTGAGAAATAAATGCTTACAGTTTGAAGGAAAATAAATGCATATATACCATCCATGTGCTTGATTCGAACACTGGTTTTCATGGCTATTTGTATACATTAAAATGAAAGCTTCATTATATTTTTAAGGCAATCTCAAACTCCAAGCAAGGAAGACATATGTTCTTTGTGCCAAGAGAGGGGCTTTGCCAAAGCAATGGCGACTGGAAGACAGTGAGTGTGGGGCAGCTGGTTATGGCTCATGCCCACATCTCTCCCATTTACGAAAAAAAACTGCTCACGATGCTTCAGGGCCACATCATTGATGTTTGTACATATAACAAGTATAAGGGAGCGTGGGCAATGGGTGACATATATAAAAAGAAAAGGGCACGCAGTGATAAAGTACCATCTATTATCAGGGGGCACAAAAGGACTTTAAAAAGCCCTCTACATTTTCCTATCTTAAGTTTTCTTATTGTAGGTGTTCCTCACCTTCCTCCTCTTAGTCAACTCTCTTTGCTCATCCCACCTTAGGGCTGTAACTTGTGCCACTATTGGAGTGGAGTTAGCTCAGAGTGTTTTGTTATCTTCAGCAGAAGTACAGGACTGTGCTGTTAAAGTGCTTCACCTTTGCAAGCTTAATGACATAAATGTGCCCTTCTCCCCTTTAAGTCAATTCCATCTTCCTCCTCCGTGTTCTCATTATCTCTGCCCTAGCTTCGTCCACTACGCATTTGCTCTCATGTCTCCCTGTTCACCAGCATTGCCGCTCCCCTACTCTCCTCTGCCAGGACTGACGACCAAAGGTCATGCCTCCCTCCTGCAGGTTCCCCTCTCCTGACACCTGAAGCCCTTGCTGGCCTGCTCCTTGGTGTATGAGTCTTGCTAACAAGACTCCCTGTTCTCCTCGCTGTTCCCTCCTCCAGATGGAGGGATCCAACATCCTGTCTCATGGGACTTGGGTCTTTTGAACAAGCTCCAGGTATTAAGCCAGTGGGGCCTGGAGGAACCTGGAGACACTTCATCTTAGCAAACAAGGAACTCAAGGAATGAGCCTGCCTTCCCTGGAGGGGTGGGGCCGCTGGTGGTAAGGTGCCCTTATAACCTAGTCTTTCTTTTCAGGGTTCCCAACAAGTGGCAGTCACTTTGAATAGCAAAATTCCAAGTGTCTGGGAAGGGTCTCTCTCTCTCTCTCTCTCTCTCTCTCTCTCTGTTTGTGTGTGTGTGTGCACGCAAAAGCAAGACTCCAGACCCAAACAATTAAAAGCTCTAGCAGTGAGGCCATTTATCTAGGTCCTATCTATGCAGGCACTGAAAAGGTGTTCATACATGTAGTTACCCTACACAAGTCCAAAGAAAGTCTTAGAAGGCAATGCTCATGGAGGTACACGTGCATTTTAAGTGTATGTCTCTGGGAGGGGTGGGTGGCTGCAAGATGAAAGGAACATGCCCACTGCATGCCACCATCAGCAGGGGTGACAGGGGCACCAGGAGAGGGGCTGTCAAGAAAACAGGTGGTGGTAGGGGTAGCACCCAATGCATTTGGCTGCTGTGGGCCTGCTTAGATTTAAATATTCTCAGTGCCTTTGCTTAAAAAGAGCCACCCCATTTAAATAGTACAGCAGATTTAAAAATGCGTTCTTTCCAGTAGTATTTCCTAGGTTTCTAATGATGTTAGTGGCTCTGAATCTTCTCCGCATTCCCATCAATTTCTTAAGTAATGGAGAGTGAACTGTGATGCCTCACCAGTGACTGTGTCTGTGCTTTAACGATGCAAATCCTACAAGAATAAAGCAATACTCTCTGCAAAACCGGGGTTCAGACTTCAAATCACATAAAGGATTTGAGTCACTCAGGGAGGGACCCCACATGTGCAAGCACAGGAGTATAAACCACAAAGGTGAGAATTGTCTGTTTGATTGGGAGCAAGTTTGAACCAAATCAGCTCCACTTGGCTGGGAGTCTTAACACTGCAAAGGCAGAAAGGTCCATGACTGCAGGTCTCCAAGACAGTCGCATGTGAATTTAGCAAACAGTATTTTTCAGCTCCATCTAACTTATCCAAAATTGTACAAACTTAGCCTCAGTCTAAGTTACTTAATCTATACTAATAATAAAAGAGTATGCAAACTGTCTGGGATGCCGTCACAATAACAGTAATGACCGAACAGCAGGCTGCGTGGGGCGACAAGACCAGCAGGGGGGTTAGTGAGGGATGATCAAACGACTGAACAGCAGGCTGCGTGGGATGACCAGGCTGGCAGGGGGACAGTTGTGGGGGACCAGGCCAGCAGGGGAGGGCAGTTGGGGGGGACCAGGCTGGCAGGGGGTTAGGTAAGGGGAGATCAGGCTGGCAGGGGGGCAGTTGAGGGTGACCCGGCTGGACGGGGGATTCAGCTGGGGGTGACCAGGCCAGCATGGGGAGTTGGGGGCGACCAGGCTGGCAGGGGGTCAGTAAGGGGTAACCAGGCTGGCAGGGGGGGGGTCAGTTAGGGGCGACCAGGCCAGCAGAGGGGGACAGTTGGGGGCGATCAGGCCAGCAGAGGGAGGTGGTTAGGGGTGATCAGGCTGGCAGGGGTGGCAGTTAAGGGTGATCAGGCAGGCAGGTGAGCAGTTAGGAGCCAGCGATCCCAGATTGTGAGAGAGAGATGTCTGACTGCTGGTTTAGGCCTGATCCCAGGGATCAGCAGTTGGACACCCCCCGAGGCATCCCAGATTGGAGAGGGTGCAGGCTGGGCTGAGGGAAACCCTCCCTTATGCACAAATTTGTGCACCAGGCCTCTAGTATTATATCTATAATAATCTATAATAATAAAAACATATTATGCTAATTAGACCAGACATCCTTCCGTCCTTTTGGAAGAAGCTGCGGTAGTGGAGGCTGAGGCAGAGGTGGCCGCCGAGGCGGCGGGGGCTGAGCCCCTTGCACAAATTTCATGTATCTGGCCTCTAGTCTACACTAATAAAAGAGAAACATGCAAATTGGTGTCACTTTGCTATGCCCACCAGCCAATCAGATGAGTATGCAAATTAACCCAACAAAGATGGTGGGTTAATTTGCATACGCAGGCGTGGCATGAAGACTGAAGACTGAAGAGTCTTGGAGCAGCGCAGAAGCCAAGACTTGCTGCGGCCAGAGAGGGAGAAGCCTAGCCTCAAGGCTTGGCTTCTCTGCTGTGGCCGGACCAAAGGCCTGGGTCCCAGGTCCGGAAAACCAGTGCCAGCAGCCAGGGGAAGGAAGGTCTATTGCACGAATCTTTGTGCAACAGGCTTCTAGTATTAATTATAAAAGAGAATGATTTGTGTTACAAAGCATTTTCCTCCAAAGCTAGAGAAGCTTATAAAGTGTCCAACACCTTCACTTTTCCCTCACAAATCACTTATACTTTTAGGGGAAAGTAACTAAAATTATATTTTCTTGACCTCAAACCAGTAAAAATAAACATTTGTAAAGTGACTGAGTCACGGCTGAGTAGGGTCACACTCTTCCAACTTCATATTTAAAAAATGTCACTTTTGCAGTTACTTATATTATACAAATAATGTTTTCATAGATCACTGTAAGTTAAAAATTTAAAACGACTGAAATTTGTTTAGGGTTGGAGTTACTCTGTGTGAGCTCCCCAGTTACATGTATTACGTCGCGGGCAGCAAGTGCAGGCCCAGACTAGGGAAGCATTCCAACAGCTCCTCCCCCACTCGCACCCCCACCCCCGCTC